CAACTAACAATATTTTTTCTGTTTCAGATTCTGATGCATTTATAAGTTGATAATATTTGCGATGGCTGCTTGTGTCAGGACGAGGAACCAAAAATCCAGCCATCTCAGTCACTATCTTGGGTCTGGGAGAGAGCTCCTGAAGTCGGAGTTGCCTACATTGAGAGATGCTTTGAGATACGGTGTTTTAATCAGGCAAATCAATGAAAAGAACCAAAGAACTTACACAAACAAAGACATTGCCAGTGATATGACCAAAGCTGTCTTGGCACAGTACACTCTGGCTAACGCTCAGTTCAAGCCTCCAGTCATAACAAGTCAGAAGAAGATTAGTGAGAGACTGCTAGCCAGTTGGGAAAAGGCAAGAGATATCTCTCTTGGGAGAGGAAAACTTGCAGTTAAGGACAGCTTTGCCAAGCAACTGGACCAGTTATTTGACATAATTACTTGCAAGTGCCCAATTGTTCTCTGTCCTGAGTTTGGATGCGATCGTGACTGTAAATCCGAGGCCCACATCTCCTGTATTTGCAAGCGTGAACTGAAGATTCCTGTGATCGAACTGGCATTTGTCAAAGCACAGAGAGAGAAGACTGGCAGTATAGGGGCTCTCATGATTTCTAGCCAAGATATTCCGGAGTCCAAGAGACAGGAGGCTGCCACAGAGAGACAGAAGAGGAGAAGAGTTGCCGAGGAAAAGAGACTTGAGAAGGCCCAGGGTGAGGTAAAAAAGGCCGATGATTGGAGTCAAGCTGATTCAGAGTTTAATGACTTCCCCATGGCTGATCCGAGTGCTGACCAGGAGAATGGTGACTTTGTCCCTAACCCAGAAAATAATGATCCCAAACCTTCCAGGCATAAGGTTCGAAATAGGAAAGATATCCTGAGCATAGCTCTGGCCAGCATGCGACACCACACTGGTCTCAGAGAAACTGCAGAGATAGCAACAGCTGCCTGGATTGACGGTGGTTTGATAACACCTGATAATGTTCACCTGGTGATAGATCATAACAAAGTAAGGAGAGCTCAGGAGAAACTTGTCAGTAACCTAGAAGAGGAGTTTGATAAGGGGATAAGAGAAAATGGAATCAATTGTTTGTTCTTTGATGGGAGAAGGGATGACACTAAAGTGTTCATGAAAGTTGGAGATTCTGACAAGTTGTTCCCTGCCATGGTGAAGGAGGAACACTACTCCTGCTGCAGTGAACCAGGAGGGAAGTATTGTGGCATTTCACTCCAGAGAAAGATGACATCAGGAAACCAGCTGAGATAGTGGCAGATAACATTGTGAACTGGCTCAGAGAGAGGAGTAGACCAGACCCTGCAGGCCATTGGAGGGGACAGCACCAACACGAACACAGGGTGGCAATGGGGGGGGGGGGTCATACAGTGGATAGAGCGGAAGATTGGGAGGAAGCTAGTCTGGATTGTTTGTGACCTCCACACCAACGAGTTGCCATTCAGACATCTGATACAGGAGCTGGATGGCAAGACTCTTTCAAACAACAGATGGTCTGGTCCTCTTGGCAAGATGCTGGACTCTGCCACTGAGTTATAAATAAATCCGAGCTTTGAAAAAATCACAGTTGGCCCTCCACTCGTTGAGCTTGCACATACTGTCATTAACGACCTGAGTACTGACCAGTACTATGGTTACATGATTTTCAGTGCCATCAAAACTGGGGTCATGCCTGATAGACTTGCTTACCTGCAGATAGGTCCAGTCTCACAGTCTAGGTGGCTCACAACGGCTCTCAGGTTCTGCAGAATTTGGGTCGCTCATCATAAACTGAAAGGGAACCAGCTTCACAACCTGAGACTTATTGTCCAATTCATCGTGAGTGTCTACTTGCCAAATTGGTTCAACACCAAGGTCAAGTCATCGTTCTCCGAAGAGGTCCGAGGCATGTTCTCTTCCAGCTTGAGCTCCTGAGGAATCAGCCAAGGAAGGTTGTTCAGATTGTGGAGCAGACTGTGAGGAGATCTTCCTGGTATGCTCATCCCGAGGCAGTTCTGCAGACAATGCTCTGCAGTAAGGATGAGGAGGAGAGAAGAGTGGCAGTCAAAAAGATCTTGGATATGAGACTTATGAGAGGATCTGGGCATGACGAATCAGTTGGTGACGATTCCTTCAGGGTCAGGAAGACTCCTGAAGTCAATCTAGGTGCCAAGACCCTCACTGATCTCATAGATCTGGATAACATCCAGGCTGGCAGTGAGCCCCCTCTTACCTGTAGCCTCACCAATGTTCAAGTCAGAGCTTTCCTGGACAACCCCATGCATGTCCCTGCCTGGCCCTCGCACACCCAGAGTATAGAGCGTTGTGTACAGCAAGTGAGCGAGGCCAGCAGTCACGTGTACAGCCAGGAGAGGAGGGAAGGCTACATCCGAGCTCAGGTGGTCAGCAGAGAGGTGATGAGTAGAAACAGAAGCAAGAAAGACATGTTCTCTATGGTGTGCAGCAACACCGGGTCGTAGTAGTAAAACCGGTTTTTGTATTTGATGATTTTGTTTTCTAAAGGAATATTAAATTTAATAAATGTGTCAAGATCATTCGTTTCACTATTCTGGACCATTTTCATCCTAATAAATTAACCTGATACATTTACTTTACTTTAAATAAGCTATTTAGTGGTGTTGGTAAAAGGGTGGGAATACTGAATTTTCATAAGATTTCAAGTTAAAATTTACCTAGCAAAAAATTAAAACTTTTCAAATCTGAAGATATCACATGATTCTGCACATAGAACTACATCATTAATACCATGGGCCGATTTTTCAAACTAAAAAAAAAATGACACCCTAGTGTCCATGCCATTCAGTTAATTAATAAATAGTAGTATTGAAAGCGGTGTTTGGAAAGATTTCCCCTAAGAATATAATATACAGATAAACAACTAACCGGACACGCTACAAAACTTCCTCACTTTACAATCCTACAACTATAAATATTCCACCTATATCTTCTAAAGTTGTGTCGTGTTATATATAAATGTAACTTAGGATGCCACTATTATGCATTTTAACTTTAGGTTAGGTTAAGTAAGGCATGTTAAGGTTAGGTTAGGTAAGGTTATGTTAGGTAAAGGTTAGTTTACGTAAAGTTTAGGTTAGGTGGTTAATATATAGTACTAAGCCACGAACGAGTTATTTGTATTACTGTTCATTTTCCAACCTTATTTTCATCAGTGAGTTCTGATATGGTAATCCTTTCTTGTGCTAATGTCTCGTTTTGTAGATAATTAGGAGCCTTGGCGCCCACTAACTTGTCTTCCCAGCGGTAATGAGACCGGGCTCTGCTGCGACACTTTTCCCCGGGCTCGTAGCAGTTTCATTTTCAGCATGACGCATGAACATTGTTGCCTGTCTTATATGGACGTAATTTAGGGATACAGACAACGAGAGCCTTCAATTGTTCAAAGACCACGGCATCGTGACTTTACACCTCTGAGTGGTAACTGAATTATTTACAAGTGAACTTCCATGTCCTCTTGTCAGACGTCATCACTGTGTACATCTTCATATTCAGAGTTTATTCCAATATTTCCTTTATACCAGACTGACCATTAAAACGTTGATTAAAACCTGAATTCCGAGGTGACTGAAACTATAAGAAATATTAAATCTATCAATGTTAAAGTGTGTGACACAAGGTTAACATAATATGCAAAACGCGCCTGATATGTCTATGTTTGTCTCGTTATCTCTATATATCTACCGATTTAACTCACCTTCTAAACCAAAATATGGCTTACCTAAGACACACACACAGACACACACATATTTATATTATTCTTATTATTATTATTATTATTATTATTATTGTTATTATTATTATTATTATTATTATTATTATTATTATTATCATTATCATTATCATTATCATTATTATCATTATCATTATCATTATCATTATCATTATCATTATCATTATTATTATTATCATTATCATTATTATTATTATTATTATTATTATTATTATTATTATTATTATTATTAACTTGTCATACTCTACGTATCAACAGTTCTTGAACAACCTTAAATCACAACTGGATATATTGCCTAAAAGAGATGATGTTTTTATTGTTAAAACTAATGTGTTTTTTTTATTGTTAAAACTAATGTGTTTTTTTTATTGGTAAAATTTACTTTGTTTCATTTGAGGCGTCGTTAACTATCATAACATTACCATATTATACCTAAATTAGTTACAGTGGTACTGTTTTTATTTGTAGTGTGTGTGAAGGCGTTTAACAATCCAAATTTAATCTCTTTTTGCACAGACCAGTTTGTGTTTAAAAAAAAGGAAAATGTGTTTGTGTGTGTGTGTGTGTGTGTGTGTGTGAGAGAGAGAGATATAACAATAATAAAAAATAACAGTTTATTGAAAAAGCATGGCAGACAGAAGACTGAAAATATATAGTTACATATTTGGGGAATGGATCACTTGATTGACGAATAATATACAAATATGATATATTATAACAAGATGGGGAGAAGGTCATACTAAAGGGCATTTCAGCATAGTGACAGTGCTAAAAGGTAAGATTGGCTGGGAGTGAACACACTGGCTGACCACAAGTTGTTGTTGATTCTTACAATGGTTGGGACTGCACTGTTCTTATAGCAATCAGTACTTGCTCGTATGGGCTAGATGTGGTTGTCGTCTCGAATGGCAATTCGCGGTCGAGGGATCTCGGGTGGAAGCAGAGGCAGGTGTCGAGGATGATGCAGAAGCTTCTCACCAAATTTACAGATGAGGTCGTGGTGATGATCAGAGATAGCCTAGAAGGTCGGTGTGTGTGTGTGTGTGTGTGTGTGTGTGTGTGTGTGTGTGTGTGTGTGTTTATGTATGTAATAATAATAATAATAATAATAATTGACGGTTTATTGAAAAAAGTTCTGCAGCCCGAAGGCTGAAAATATACATTGTATGTTTGTATGTATGTTTGCACATGTGTGTGCATCAGTAACTAATTAGCAGAAGGTACATTCTAGACACTTACCTTTACTATCAGTAGTTCCAGTTGCTGCCTTACTCTCTGGACCATAACCTTTGCTTGTAGCAGCCGTGACGGTAACGCTGTAGTTGGTACAGGGAGTCAGGTCGGTGATGGTGCAGCTGGTGGTGGTGTCATTGGTTATGTCATGGTCTTTATTCCCCTCCCAGGTCCAGCTAACATTATACTCTGTGATGATGCCGTTGGGGTTTTCTGGGGGACTCCATGATACTTTTATTGACGAGAACGAGAATGACACTACAGACGTGATGACTGGAGGTCCTGGTGCTGTAACATATTGTCACGATAACCATGAATACCTTAATATATATATAACTTATATTTAACAATGGTTAACATTACTAGAGGTCACCGTCATGATAAAATCTGTAAAGGTCAACAGTGTGCGTGAAGTATGAATGATCATTTTTGATAAAGCCAATATTGAAGTGATCCTTGATGTGAAGGGCAAACTCCTCACGTGGATTGCTGACTACCTCTCCCGTCGACAGGCCCGTGTCCGTTTTCAGGGTCACTACTCTAAGATTAGGGATCTTGATCTTGGCACGCCTCAGGGAGGTGTACTCAGCCCTACACTCTTTAATGTACTCATGAACTCCATCTGCCGCCTCAACGACATCTTTGCTGAGCGCGCCCTAGACGGTCACATCATAAGCTACGCTGATGATATCCTCCTCCAACCTATACTCTCCACGTTCGCCCGGACCTGTCAAACACTCGGGATAGTCATCTCACACACAAAAACCAAGTTCATCTCACACTTCCAGCGTCAGACACCGCTGACTCTGCAAGGACAAGACATCGATCAAGTACGCACCTACAGGTACCTTGGTCTACCGGTGCGAGCCACTACCAGCGCCACCACCTCCGCTGTCGCCTCCCACGTCATCTCCCAGTGCCGCCAACGAACGAGGCCCTTCCAGTCCCTTACTCACGGCCTCAAAGGAGCCTCTGTCAGGGTCCTACGTCCCATGTACATTGCTATCATCAGAGCTATCATAGATTATGCCTCTCCTGACCTCCCAGCATAGAGAAAATCCAAAACAGAGCTATGAGACTCATCCTCGGCTGCCCTATGACCACCAGAATAGAAGTCATGCAGCGTGAACTAATCCTGCTTCCTGTCTGCGATCGAATTACTGCTCTCAATGCCATCCTTGGTGTTAAACTTCTTCGCAGTGAGAAACCGACTCCTCTGTACCGCTCACTGGACTCACATCTTAACACCCTCCTGCGCCGGCCTGCCCCCATTACCTCTCCTTCCCTCTCTCAACACTGGCCCGTCCACACTGCTGCTGACATCCTGCGTTATCACCTCTACAACCCCTCGACATCTCTCCCTCCCGAGTACACTCATCCGCCTCTACCGCCGTGGACCTCCCCGAGTGTTGGTGTTGTCGTCCACACCTTCCCTGGTCGTAAATCCACCCAACTGCGGTATATGCTCAAACTTAACTGCCTTGAGCAGATTGTTAATGTCGCCTGTTCTCTTACGACCTCCCTCCCTCCAATCCTCGTCTACTGTGATGGGTCTGTCACCACGCTGGGCTGCGCTGGGGCAGCTGTGTGGATTCCTGAGCGCCAGGCCAGAAAATCAGGGTCCACGTCTGGGCCTCCTCCACTGACACTGAAAGCATAGCCATCCTCGCGGGCATTCATGAGGGGGTGACCTATGCTCGCACTGAATGCCGAAATCTCCTTATAATCAGTGACAGCACTTCTGCACTAGCTAGGCTCAAATTACCCTCCCCCTCCTCCCCTACCGCCCAACACACCCTAGCCGCCGTCGCCGGGCTAGAACAAAATGATGACATCAGTGTCAAGTTTATTTGGATCCCGTCACATATAGGAATAACTGCCTGTGACACTGATGATCGGCTTGCCAAAGAAGCTACACAAGAAGAAGATATTGAAGCCACCCTCGCCTTCTCCCTGAATCATCTCACATCTCGCATACACGCCACACAACGAGAGGCATTCGACGTAAAATGGACACACCTGAAACAACGGAGTAGCGTCACACTATGCCACTAGGACGCTGTAACCGGTGACTCCAACCGCCACTCCAAAGAGTATCAATCTCTGACTCGATCTCAGCAGATTATGTACATGCGACTGCGCCAAGGGTACAGGTACCTACAGTATAGGAGTACATTGGCAACCCTGAGCCTGGCCGCACTGTTTGTAAACTGTGGTCAACCCGATTCTCACACCCTCCCTCACTACATCTTCACTTGTCCTATGACCTCCTCCTACAGGTCCCCAGCCGTTACCAACACCTCTTCCCTCCCTGACCAGATACCCCTCCTCCTAGTCACAGGCCTGGCACTTGACATTATTAGGGACCAGCCACGCAATAAACAGATGAAATGTACCGGGAATTCCCTCACCCCCCACACACACTCATCATTCTGACACTTTATGTAACTTGCTGACAAAACATATGACCCTTCAGGCTTCCACGCCCTGAATGCATGAGTCATAAAGGCAAGCATGAACTTAGCATGCTTCCCAGTTGCTCACTGTAAACGCTTCTGCGCTTCTACTTGCACAGGATGTAAGGGGGTGTCCAATATACTAGCCCCCTCCGGGGCAATCTGTAATCTGATCTGATCATCCTGGTACATCATTATGGATGTTCCCGACACTACTGAACAAAGTCGAATTATATTTTGAATCGAAAATTCATTCTTCACTGCGCACGACATCATCTGGCCGGCAGCCCCCCGGGTGGGTGGGGGGGTGGTCGGGGTGTCTCCACTGTTATCACCTGGCCGTCGTGGTGTAAGAATCTATGGCAATGCCTGATAAATGCTCCGTATTTGGATGCATATTAAATCACAAAATAAAGGATAAAAGTTGAGATATTCGATTTCCAATGGAAGAAAAAGAGAAAAAAGTGAATTTTATTGTTCATGCAGCAAATATACTGTATAGGGTACAAGAGGAGGTAAAGGCAATATTTGAGAGCTATTGGCAGGTTTAAATTTAAATTCTCTAAAGTCTAACTTTCGGCCAGGAAACCGGATGTGGAGAGACAAGTACCTATTCGTTGTTTGAAACTGTTGTATAGCCTAGTCATCTATATATCTAGTGGCCATATTGATTAATTGAAAACCTCTACACATATAAACTTGTATTCACTGATTTACTGAAATAGCTTGGAAAGAGAAGGAATGATGATAATTATTATCTTCTTGTGTTCCTTCTGCCTCCTCGGTAAATAGATGGCCAATATCCCCATCATTAATTAATTGCTTTACATTGATACTGGCAGGAAAATCATAAAAGTATATATCATAATAAAGAGAGGAAGAAGAGGATTGTTAACAATAGTTATAATATAGGAATATCATAAAAATATGGTGTGCTAGGGGGATAAGAGAATCAGGATATATGGCAAGAATATCTTATAATATAGTGGGTGGTCTCACCAGGGATAAAGAGTTAGAAATGTTGCCGACTAGGGGATTTAGTAAAGAAACTAACCATTTAGATAATTTATAAGACATTGACCCAACTGAGCTAATGATGGGACTTGCTGGGTTATTTGGCTTGTGGGTCTTGATTACACCGTACATGTATGGCAGTGGAGGGGACGTTGAAGTAAGTTATTTAATGAGAGTAGCTTTGCCTCTCAATAGAGACAACTTTTTTGTTGAACTGAGTGTTAACAGTGTTGAGAGGATTATTTATGAGCTTAGTTGGCAACATTTCTAACTCTAATATTAAGAATAATATGGATCTGGTTGATAAACTCAATGACTTACACACTAATTATGATTTTAAACTGGTCAGCTCTGATGTAACATCACTCTTTACAAAGGCCCCAGTTGATGATTTACTGGAATTCCTCATAGATTCCCTGGATAATATTTCATTGCCCGCCTCGAAAGACGACTTTCTCGAACTCATCAAACTATGTATTAAGGATTGTAAATTTGAATTCAATGGAGAATATTGTGCTCAAAAATTTGGTATGGCAATGGGTAATCCACTCTCACCAGTATTAAGCAACCTAAATATGGAATTCTTTGAAAAGAAACTATTAAGTAATAGCTTACCACCTTCAGCAGTCTGGTTTAGATATGTAGATGATGTATTATGTCTCTGGCCATGTAATGAGGACCTAAAAGCTTTCCTGCCACAACTTAATAACTTAGCCCCCTTGATCAAATTCATTGTGGAATTAGAGCATGACTGTAAATTGCCATTCCTAGACTGTCTGATACACAGAATAGGTAACACCTTTAAGTTCAGTATTTATAGAAAACCTACTAATGTGTGTTCGTACATTCATTATTATTCTGCCCACCATAATAGAGTCAAACAGTCAGTATTTTCATCAATATTTGTATTGTTTTGAGAATTTGCAGCCCGAAATTCATTGATGAGGAATATAAATATATCTATAATATTGGCTTGAACCTTAAATACCCTAGATCTTTCATAGACAAATGCCTGAACATTACTAAGAAATCTTTTTATAGAAACCGATCCGAAGCCTACCCATGACCATAAGAATCTCTTAGTATTACCATTTCACAAAAAATTCTCTCAGATTCCTTTACAACTAAAAACCTGGAACGTCAATGTGGCATTTAAAAACTCATGCACTGTTAAACAAATGTTAATCAAGAACTCCCCCAACAATACAGGTGGCTGCATTTATAAAGTTCCTTGCAAGGAATGTAATATGTTTTACTTAGGCCAGACAGGTAAAGATCTTGTAACTAGACTTAAATAACATAAATATAGAGTTAGGACAGGCCAGGGATCCAATGTTCTGTTTGTTCATTTGAGGGATAATAAGCATTGCATTGACTGGGTTAATGCCTCCTCAATATTACCTTGTAATTCAATTGACAGTAGGAATATTATAGAATCCAGTCTCATTAAACATACCGAATCCGTCAACATGAATTTGAGTCATGGTATGTACAAACTGGATAATTTCGTAATTAAGAAGATTTGTGACTAGGTGAGAAGGTTGGGTCATCATACTCTCTGACCTGACTACCGACTGCTGCAGTGCTTTTTGAAGATTAGTAGGGTCACTACCTAATAACCTGACTATTGTGACTTGATCTCACCCTCCTCTACTGTATATATATTTGCCTTGTTATGTAAATACTCCTTAGTCTGTACTCACCCCTGAAGACGTGAATTACACGAAAGCGCTTGGGAACTTCGTGTTTTCTTTTTCCCTGTGGTTGTCAGCATATATATATATATATATATATATATATATATATATATATATATAT